TTAAATTTTGTGCTTTACTCAATTCACGCGTTACCAAGTGAAATGCAAGTATAGCTTTCTTTTCATGCTGATTTATGAAATCAATAATAAGCTTTGGTATAATTAATTTCTACTCCTTTCCTGTAGAGTACTTTAATTTTCTTCAATGGTCGACGTCGATTACTGTCATTATCATCTGTTGCTCTGCCCACCATCACTGAAGAATTTCATTATCAAGTTTGTCCTTGGCAGTATGGCTGAGAATTAGATATCACACAAATGCTTTTGGTTTATCTTCGATTGTTTCTTCGCCATTTTCATAATAGATAACAAGATTATATTAAAATTTTCTTTGGCTCCTGGAACCAGAATGGCAGGTCGGTTTCAAGAATGTTCTGAGGTCGCGAAATGGACTCGCAGGTGATGCTGTCTAGTGTATAAATTTGATGCAAGACATCCAAAGTAGAATCAAGGTGTTCTACACGTATTTGGAAATTGTCATATTGCATACAAATAAAAAATCAGTCAATAAATTCGGTGACTCTATCAGGACTTAGTTGATGACGTCAACTATGCGAAAATGGTTAGGGTCTGGATCTGGGTCAAGGTTATTTGGCAAACAAAAAATGTATTTATAGTAAAATTTCGCAAGGAACATTTTTTGTTAGAACACGAAAGATAGTTTCATAGACCAGAATTTGAGATAATTGGTTATCATCGCTGGCATCGTCAAAAAATTATCACATGACCCGCACTTTAGGGGGTCGTCCTGGTAGAGTCAAATTCGATTATAGCAATTTGAGGTGTTATATTACCACCATCAACATTAGTAATAAACAAATTCGCGAAAACCCTAGTTTTTTGTCAGTAGATCAATAAATTAAAAGTTCGCAAAAATCACTGAGAAATAACAATGTGTAGTAAAACTCATTAATGTGTGGGTATGAATAACAGGATTTTATAAAATTAATTTGAATAACTTTAACGATCTTTCAAATAATCGAGTAATAAATCTACTCACTCTTACAGCAGATTTGTACACAGAACACCACCCACGACTCCATTCACAGGATTTTTGAAACCGACCTGGCGTTCCGACGGCAGCACAATAAAATATACAAGTGGTCTCAGGAAAAAAAGAAAAACTTAAAAATATATAAGACATCAGACCATTTACAGTCCTCAAAAAAACGTTCATTCGTTCGCCATCGATACCCACGCCACTATTAATAACATCGCAAAGACCCATGAACCCTCTCCTCCGCCTGTGAATACCCGTGGGTCCTCTTCTCTGCCAGTAAACAAGGTGTATTTTTTGTCTGAGGGAGAACAAAGTGCTGTTGTGAAGCTTTTATGACGCTCGCAGAGAAGACCTTTGCCAAGTACGAAGATAAAATCTCAAATAAATGTGTTCTGATCAAAAATATTAAAATATTTATGAACGAATCACTCTTCCATGGCCCTCATAAGGACCCTACGGAACTCCTCAGCAATTTTAAAAAGGATATCCATCACAAAGTTGTGCATGGGATCGTCGAGTATAATAGAGGACGATGATGCGATAGTGCTCTTCAGAGGGTTGCCCTTCTGACATGTGAGGTTATCGCCTGCCTTGACGGTAACCATAAGAATGCTTATACTGCCAAGGACAAACTTGATAATGAAATTCTTCAGTGATGGGTGAGAGCTGCAGATGATAATGACGGTAATCGATAATACCCTAGCCACGGCAAAAAAGCGCCTTTCACGTGATTCCGGTCCCGATGTCGACCATCCGATATTCCCCCTTAAAATCATGCATAATATTAAATAGAGTTTCGGTTAGGGTTAGGGTTAGGTTTAAGATTAAGGTTATTGTACAATAAACGTGAACATAGTATATATTAAAATTCCGTAAGGAACATTTTTTTGTTAGAACATAAGTAAAACTCAAGATACAAGCTATTTTTCAAAAGTAAGCGTTTATTTTCAATTTTTTGCGTTACATATTGATCTTGCGATTTGATTGGTGCATGATTTTAAGGGGGATATCGGATGGTCGACATCGGATCGGAACCACATGAAAGACACTTTTTTGCCGTGGCTGGGGTACTAGTAATCGACGTCAACCATTGAAACGAAAACTGTATGCCGCAGACTTTGTCTAGGCGTACTCGGAAAGGCCAAGACGATTGGGGGGGAGAAACAGAAAATTGTACGGCTGGCGCTGGATAAGATGAAACGTTGATGCAGATTTGGTGAGCGGTGATGATAAAGGAGAAGAATACAGTACAAATGAACAAATCTGTCTGGTTCGTCAATGCAACGTTTGATGTGGTAAATATTCAATGGTAATTATCTTTTTTCATGCACAAAATCTTTATAATGAATATTACTTCATTTTAGAACTTAAGCTGCAACATAGAAATGAGGACAACAGAAAACCAGTCGAAGGAAAAAAAGAGGTTTCTTCTTTAATTAAGAATACTCTCGAAGGTGCCTGAATGAGGGCAAACCACTTTCTATTATATATTGCACTATTTAAAATGGAGAATTACAATATGATTTCACTGTTTATTTAACTTTATTTTACATATTCTGTTTTATATACACTCAAATCTCGTTATAGTGAAAATATCAGAATAAGAAAATGTTTACTATAACTTTTATATACTTCACTATATCGAATTGAGGTTTATTAATTATTCTAAAAATTCTTCAATATATCAAAAGATTGACTATACTGAAAGTTTACTATATCAAGAGTAAGTTATAATTATAAAACATATTCAAATAATAATAATAATAATAATAATAATAATAATAATAATAATAACATATATGAATTAAGTTTATATTAACTTATGAAAGTAATATACTTCAATTAGCTCTTTAAAAAGATCTGATTATACTTTTAAAATATATTAAAATATTACTAAATTAAAAATTTTATTGATTTTATAATTTTATATTAAAATAAAAATTATAATTTATATTTATTTATACTTTTTGCATTTAATTCAAAGAAAATTTTCTAATTGCAAAGTAAGTACAAAATTTTTATTAATTAAATAAAAATTTTATACTTATTTTAAAATTAAAAAACATTTTTATGAATTAAATACCAAAAAATATATTAAAATATTTTTATTAATAAATTAGTTTTATTTATACTACTAATAATATATTATTCTAAGAATAATCTCCAAAATAACATTATTTAATTAAATAATTTGCTAAAATTAACATACTGAAATTAAATTTGAAATTATTTTGACTTATTTTATTAGTAATTGAAATTATTTTTCAAAATTATTTACAAACTAAAACAAGAATTCTAGATATTTTTAAATATTCATTAATATAAATAATATAATAAAACTGAATTGCTTGTTAAAATATTATTTTTTTTAAAAATAATTTAAATAACTATTTTTATATTATATTACATTATATTTTGATATTAATTTAATATATTAACTATATTTATAAATAGTTATTTAAAGTTTTTTAAATATATATAATTAGATACTAAAAGTTTTATATACTTAAATAATTTATAGAAATTTTTTGAAATTTTTGATGACTTATTTTTGTTTTAATTTTATAATTAAAATATTTTTTATATTATATTATATATAATATAGCCAAATTTTCAAGAAATAATATATTCTAAAAATTTTTCTTAATTTATTATAAATTAATATTAAATAAACCTAAATTTAATAATATTAAAATATCTAACAAAATTTTTATATATAAAAATATTAATTTATATTTTTTAAAATTGTATTAAATATAATATAAAGATCTAAATTCAATTTATTAATATAAAAATTTTTATTTTTATAAAGTATTTGATACAAATAAAATTTTAAATTTAAAAATAATATATTACTTTTATAAATTATTATATATGATTTTTCAAAAATATCTAAATTCAATCTATTTAATAATTAATTTATAATATAAATTAGTAAAAATATATAAATTTTTGATTAATATAACAAAATATATAAATAAAAAACAAAAACCAAATATTTAAATTTATCTTAAAGCTTTAATTAAAAATATTAAAAAATAATTTAATATAATAATCAACAAAATTATAAAATTATACATGTAATTTTATTAATAAAAAATAAAATTTTGTTTTAAATAAAGTTTTTAATTTTATTAATAAATATTTTAATTTTATAATTATAAGTTATATTTTAATATATATTTTTTTCTGAATTTTTTTTAATAAAATTATTTTAATTATAAAGTTATTACAAAATTAATTTTATATTTTAATTATAAAAAATTTATGTAATAACTTTTGTAATTAAAACAATTTTATTAGAAAATAATTTTAAAAATCCAAAAATATATATAAAAATAATATAATAATATCAAAATTTATTAATTAAATATAATAAAATATATATTTTTCTCTTTGTATAAAAGTTTTTAATTTTACTAATAAATATTTTTTATATTTATATTAAAATAAAGATACTTTTATATATTTTAACACATATTTTTAAAATTTAATCTGATAAATCTATTCTAATTATATATAAAATCAATTATTTTTTATATATTTTAATTATAAAAAAATAATTAATTTATATACAATTAAAATAATCTTATTAAATTAAATCTAAAAAATTTGAAAAATATATATTAAATATATAATATTATCTTTATTTTAAAGTAAAAATATATATTAAATATATAATATTATCTTTATTTTAAAGTAAAAATAAAAAATATTTATTAGTAAAATTAAAAACTTTTATATAAAGAAAAAAATTTGTATTTTACTATACTTAATTAATAAATTTTAATATATTTGCATTATTTTTAATTGTTATTATATATTTTTTAAAATTATTTTCTAATAAAATTGTTTTAATTACAAATATTATTACAAAAATTTTTTATAATTAAAATATAAATTAATTTTCAAATATTTTTGTAATAACTTTGTAATTAAAATAATTTAATATATATTAAAATATAACCTATCTCTTATTTAATATATTTTTATCAAAAATTAAAATATTTTGAAAAAAGTTTGTTTAATACTAGTTTTAATTATATATTATATAATAATTATTTTCACTTTTTAATAAATATAAAAAATCATAATTGTTTACAAATTAAATATAAGTAATTTTAAAAAATTTTTATTATTAATTTTAAATTTTAAAAATATTTTATAATAAAATTAAAAAATAAATCAAATATTTTATAATAAAAGTATAGAATTAATTAAAAAATATTTTGAACAACTATAAATAAAAATTATAAATTTTATATTATATTGATTAAAAATATATTATATTTTTATTTTAATTTAAAAAAAGAGATATAGAACTCCAAATTAAGCTGAGTTCAAGCTCAACACAAATAAAAAAAGCTTAATTCAGCTCATATTATATAATATATAATAACTTATTTAAGAAATAGAATGTGAAAAAAATTAG